CCCACCTATACTCGCCACCTTTTCGATTTATAGGTGTTTTATTGTCGATTTTCGGCAGATCTGGCCACCCACCATTACGCGCCACCAATAATCTACTATCGTCATGCACCTATAATCATCGGTGCGCCACCCTTAATTTTTATTTGGGATGTGGCTGACGTTGACGGAACTTATTCCATTCCAACCCAGGATTGGGTTGGCTAAACTTGGAATAGTTCCTGTCTTTTTATTTGTTGCATCAATTCAAAGACATTTTTGTGAATATTTTCATTTCTTGGGTGGACACTCCATCCTTTCATGCGCTTTGTGGAATGTATTTTTTAATGCAACCTTAAATGGAACCGATATTTTGCCACGAAGGGATTAAAATTATATTGCGTACAATTATGTTTTTATATTTTAGTTTCGTGAACAATAATGAGTCCTAATCAACTGTTTGGATTAGAATGATATTTTAATTGTATATATATTCATTCGGTACGTGTCTATTCACCATTCAGTAATAAAAATTATGTGAAAATTACGAATTGTTGAGAATTGTAAAATATTTTATTAAATGAATCGAAATAATATCGTTAAAATTAATAATTTTCCTTATTCTGTGCCGTTTTGATAATTCTCGGTTAAATTATGAGTGGAGTTTAAGTAAAAAATTTCGCAAACATAGTGATGCATATATATGTGCCGGAAATGTGTTGCGACAAGTCACATATATTTAATCGTTAACAATATACATATGACTGAAATATGAACACACGTAAACATTTAACTATGAATTAAATATATTACTTCAAAAGCTATCAATTAGTTTTAACCCTCTATTCATTTCATTTTTCATTTCCAAGAAAAAATCTCCCTTTATCTCGAAATAAAGATCACTTCGTTTTCAATCCTGCCGGCAATGCCTTTTAATCAAAGTTCTGAACAAATCGATAAGCATTTTTTGGTTATTATTAATAATTCTACTAGTTGCATAAGTTTGTCCTGCAAATTACTCCACTATATTGAAACGCTGTGAAAGCTTTTGTTCTCTGGAAATTAATTTTTTTATTTTTTAATCAGGTTTTAAAGAGAAAAATTTTTAATTACGTGAGCGTCTGAACACAGTGTAGCTGCGCTATGCTTTTGTCTTTTGTTGACCAGGTTCCCGCTGTTAACGTGAGGAGGTCGTTGCATTCGCTGCGGGTCTTTTTAATGAGCAGCATGGGGTGATGACTACAACCTCAAGTTGCGTAAATTTTTGGAAATTCAGTAATTTTATTAAGATGCAATGCTGAAAGTAGTTCCTCTTATTAGATTACCGCAGCAGTGGTTCACGATTTCTTTATGTGGCGGGTAAGCCTATGCATCTTGTGATATGGTTCACGAACTAACGATGATCTTGGTTTAAAATTCTATTGTTGTTTGCACATTTCTAACATGTTTAGATGCTAGGATAAATACTGGCATACATCCCCCGATCGATTGTAATTTTGTGGAAAAGCTTGGCTTGTCTATAATATTGAACGGTTTCGTATTTCATGGATATTCCAGGTGGACGTGGGCACCGGATTTACCTTCTGGCTCGAGGTTCAGAGAACTTAAGTGAAGTTCCTTGGAATTCCCACTGTAATGGAAAACCTGAAACGAATAAACTTCACTGGAGGAGGAACCCTATAGTTCGTGTA